CCACAAGTTTCAGTCCATAAAAATAATGAAAAAATAGTCCAAAAACAGCAAGTAAAGATAAGGAAGAAGTGGTGCAAAAAAGCTAGAAGTTATACCTCTTGAAGAGGAGTAACACTTTGATTCACAAACCCATAAATCCTCACCCTCAAATGCTGAAATTCAACCTCAAGAACCTAAGCAAGAAGCCCTAAAAATTAGGTTTAGGGAGTATAGATAGAGTGTATCTAGGTTGCAAGGTAGAGAGAGAGAAATATTTTCAAAAATTTTGCACTTCACAAATTTTTCTAACCTGAAAACATAAGGTATGGCTCTCTATATATAGAACAACTGGTTGATATCTTGGAAATATCTGTATTGAGCCAGCTGGTGCAGTGCACGCACATGGGGAGATAGCTAGCAGTAAATATCTGCTCTACTGGAATAACTGGCTAGCCGGCCACTAGGGAGACGGCCAGCCAGCCACTAATTTTTGGCCAGTCGGCCACCAGTTGGCCTACAGGCCTCTGGGTGGTCAGGTTTGGAAAAATACTGTTTTGGTCCAAAAGTGGTGCAAGGTTAGTAGACTTCTGAGACTCAAAACTAAGGCTTCCTGCAGAGGAAAGCGAGCATTTGTACAGTGTATAAATTCATCATTGAGTGACCAATCAGAGGTGCCCAAGTCTTAAGAGCGGTCAAAAATGGGGTGTCTACAGATGCACATGCCATGCTCGAAATATAAGTTTTTCTTAGTTTTAAAATCTCTTGCAACATGCTCACTTGAAAAACATGATTCAATTTCAATGATTTCAATATATCAACAAGGAGTGGTAAATACAACTCAAGTAATCCCTAGGCTGATGTCTACAAATAGGCATAACAAGTACTACTAATTGCCATTTTACTAGCTCTTAATCTGATGGAAAAATTTTAAACCTATCGTGCTGGTTTCTAGATTTTCATCAAGAACCTCAAGCCAACTTAATTCTCAAACTACACCCCCTATCCGGACTTACCACCTTATATATCCCAAAACATTTCAACAATAACGTTCTGTTTCACCAAAATGATTTCTTTTTCAAAAGTGAAAAATCTAGAAATCCCCTAAATATTGATTTGTGATTATGTATCAATTTTAAGCAGTAGATAACAATCCCAATCAAACAATCAAGACAAATCGACACAACAATTTTAATGTGGAAAAACCATAATTTGAGTGCCTCCAATTGTGATAAAAAATCACAGGCCAAAACCACAAAACAATCTATTAAGTAGAAAAAAAGAATTACACAAGTGTACTCTCAATTACCTAGCGAATCCACTCCCGAATTGAACCGACCCCTATATGCCATTTCTACCATGGTCTTCAACTCGAAATTGTCTTGCCCAATGTTGAATCCATAGCGCCGATGTCGAATCACAACGATGAGCCACTCTAGAATCCAGCAAAGCTTCAGGCTCGAATTCTCCAGAATCCACCAAAGAACAACTTTCTCTTTTGTATTGAATAAACGAACAATCCTTTGATGTATACCTTTTAAACCATGAGTTGAATACTCAATCAAACATCAAAGAAAACTAGCAAAATAGCCCCAGATATAAACCTTAATATCCAAGAAGAAGATCTGGAAGCGTAACCCTAAAATCTGATTGAATCACATATTTATAGCAATTTGTTCTGCGATCTCCGCTCGAGCGCCGGAATGGCCGCTCGAGTGCAGGAAATTCCGCTCGAATGGGAAAAAACATCTCCTAGTATTTTTGCAGGCGATCAAAGCCCTGGAACCAAGGATTCTCCGCTCGAGCAGACAAGCAACTTCGAATGCATTTTTGCATTTTTCTTCGGGGGCGCTGCCCTTCAACTCCACCGTGGCGCTGCCCTGGACCTGCCAAGGGGCACTGCCCCCTGAACCTTTGCGAGCTGACCAGGTAGCTCGATCCCCGTCATAGTCAGCGAAGTAGCAAACATGAAAGAATTATCTTCTGAAACTTCTCTGCAAGGCACAATTCAGGTTGGATTCGCATCTAAGTACTCACAACCTCACTGAAATAAAAGAGCGAATAAAAGTACAACTGAAAGGAGTTTTGTCAAACGGGATTACGAAGAATAAAAATCTAACAAAAAGTATTCACAACAATGCCAATTCGAAAAGCAATGATAATGAAATAAAATGCCAATGCAATATATATCTATATCAATGTCTTGAAAATTTTCAATTTCTCAATGCTTTCTCATTTCACCTACACAATCTCCCATTGTGATCAAATTTCACATATATCTACAATGTATATTCATACACAATATACGCCAAGGAATAAAGAATAACAATTCTTGACATGGATTCTCTCTTCTTACTAAAACAATAATTTCCCAACAAAGATGCTTTACAAAACATAACCTCATAATATCACAACTTTTCCCAATTTTTGAAAATCTAGGGTTTTCACAAAACTTGGGTTTTCCTCATTTTTGAAAAGATTTTCTCCACAAATAGAGTCCACAACTATAACCAAACTCAAATTCTTCATCAATCCAACATTTAAAATAAAAATACAAAATAGGGTTTTCCATTTGCCTTAAAGATTTTTGTTCATGAAATTCCCAAACCTTCTCATAGTTCATCCATTGAAAGATTTGTAGAAAATTTAAGAAAAACCATCTTTGAACCACATAAAAATCTTATAAATCTAACCCTAATTCAATATACGCAAAACATCATCAAAACAACTATAGATTTGCTAATATATATATATATATATGTATAACTCAAATAATATCCCTACCTCACGCTCTAGGATGAAGGAGAGAAGAAAACCACCAAATTTGAGGGTGCCGAAAATCGATCTCCATTGCACAAGATGAAGCTCTTGATGAGCTCTCCAAAATTACCTCAAGAACAAAGGTCAAAATCCTAATGGATTTAGAGAAATTAAAGAAAATGCATGATTTGTGGAGTAAATGTAGAGAGAGAGAGAGAGGAGAAAAGATGATATATAGAGGGAGAGACGGAAAAAGTGATGAGAAAAATGGTAGGAATTCAACTTAAAAGAGAGGAAAAAGAAAATTTTTGATTAAATTAAACTCCCCCGCACGTGCCCACCTTTTGCCGCACATGCAGCAATCTTTCCGCACGTGTTTTTATTCCATAAGTGAACTCCAATCTTAGCCCATCTTCCCGCACGTACGACACCCACCTTCGCACGTGCAACCCTCTCTCTGCACGTGCAGTTTTGTTTATCGTTTTTGTTTTAAGGCAAAAACACTCCCCGGTTCCGCTCCAACGCCCGAAACTCGAAGGTTCCAACTCGGAAAAGATTTCAGAGGACTAAAGCATGGAAGGTTACAAGTGTAGTGACATCACACGGTCCACAAGATCTCAAAATTAAATAAAAAGTTGATTGGGTTACTTACCCGAGACATAACAGGCTCCCCCGCCGATGCCGCGCTGATGGTGCAGCTGGGCTAAGGATAAAAGAGAGAGAGAGAGAGGAAAAAAGTGTGAGATAGATACAGAGATAAATAGAAAGAAAAGAAGTGAATGGGTGAGAGAGAGAGAGAGAGAGAGAGGAAAAAATGTGAGATAGAGAGAAGAGTAATAGATGGGTAAACGGGTAATTTGGTATTTTGTAGGAAGATGTCCTGGACAGAATGAAAAAGCGCATAAACTTTTAGACCAAGTAAATTCAAAATTGGAATTACGGATCGAAAGTCTTTTAAAAATGAATTCAAACATTGTCATTTTGAACCAAAATGTCTGACTTGAACATGACCTATTAGGAGTAACCCTCTGCTGCATGACACCTAGAACAGTTGGGATTGAAATTCCCTACAATTTTCATCCAATGTTTGGTGTGTGTGTGTGTGGGGGTGGGGGGGGGGGAAGGGGGGCAAAGCAATAAAAAATGTCAGATCACTTAATTTGTTGTCCAATACCATAAAAATAAATAAATAAATAACTGAAACTTGCAATCTTCCTCAAAGTTGAATTCTTCCTATTCATTTTCACCAGAGCACCTATATGTTCGATAACTGCTATACTGGTTTAAATCAATTCACATTCCTTCTTTAAAGCTTTCTCTATTCTTTGTTTTGAGCAGATGTTCTAAGATTGGTTTGTTTCGGTGGAAAATATTTTTTGAAAAACATTTTTTGCATTTTCTGCAGTTGGTAGCATGAAAAATGAAAGTCAAAAAAATATATTTTCATAGTCAACGGAAAACAAGCTTGGTGGAATAAAAAAATGTTTCACTTTTAACAAGTAGAAAACATTTTCCGATCATAAGTCTTAAAAACGCTACCACATTACCACCAGCTCACCACTCACCTCCTCTACCTCCACTTGCACCACCCCACCACAACAACTAACACCACCACTGTTACATTAGTTTCAAGGTCGCAACTAAGCAAAAGAAAACATTTTATAGAAAATATTTTCTACTGAAATAAACAAAGCATAATATACTCTTTTTAATTATGCTACGAAAACAGATATTCACCTTTCTCACTAAATCGTGTTTGAAATCACAAGGCATGTAAGCGAAAAAATGAGATCAATACACCGGTTGAGCTAGAGGTTGTATCTGGTAATGAATTTGGTAAATGGCTTCTTCCAGTTGGCAAGTTTTGGTTCAAGCTATACAACATATCCATTGCTGCATTGCATTTAAACAGCCTTCCTGCTCAAGGGTTTCACAAATCAACTCACAGAGACTTCAAGTTGGCATCTGTTTTGCCATTTTAAGAACAATTATCTAAAAAGAATATTTTGGGTATGGCACCACATAGGCTTGTGAAATAATTTAGCCATCAAACAGTCAAAAGAACGTAGTGGCCTCTGTCTATGCAGAATAGCTCAGAAGCAATATTGTAGGCAATAGCCGAGAACAAAACAAGGAAGGGAGAACCTATTGCACAGAAAAGGGAAACAAAACCATACTGTATCACTCGCATCATCAGATGGCAAGCCACATATTCCACAAACGCGATCACAAGTGAAGAACATTACACACTCCAAAAAAAAAAAAAAAATAGTAGAATGCATTTATAAATTTCAAATATAATTATACAATATGACTCTGGACGCAGATATGTACAGGCAACAAATTTGCATTTCTGCAAAAAAAGGAAAGTTTCAGACGCAATGGCATATTAGCCACTAAATTAAGCTAACACGAAGGAGAAGATTAACTCCTAAGTTGCAAGATGACTGCAGAACAAGAAATCAGTAAACTAGACACAGATGGATTGCATTCACTTAGCAGCCACATCCAACCTAACTGACATAGTATGATTGTGAGATCACTAGCTTCAAATAAATACAAATGTACAATAACCTTTTGTTGAATTTGATGTTCAAACCATTCAAAAGATTGTAAGACTAACCCATCGAAGAGAAGCTTATCTCCTAAAAATTTGACACAATTGCTCAAAAACTTGATCTAGAAATTCAGGTAACGAAGCCTTGCCATTCTTCTTTTAGCAGCCACAACCCGCCTAACCGAAATTACCCACTTTATCGCAGCCCGAATCATACACCACCTCGCTTTAGGTTTTCCATTCCTCGAATCACAGATGCCAAAATTAGAAGAAACATTTCCAACTGTTTCATTACTTGAAGCCAAGAACAATCCATTCCCTTGCCAAGTCGTTGGTTCTGACGGACAATTGTCATCAGAAGTTAGGTGACCAATCTGCAAGACTGGCCCCGAAGATCCACTTGGAGCCCAACTGTTTCCGCCACCATAGGGTCCAGAGTAAGAATTTGTAGCCATCAAACTGTTCCTTAATGTTGGAGTGAAAACTTGCAGAGGTTGATATTGTTGTACCACAGAAACTTCTTGTTGATTACCATCTTCTACATTGTAAATATATGGTGGTGAAGTTGCCATATGATTGCAAGCCAGCGGCATCTCAAGCAGATCTGAAAAAGAATATGGTGTCGAGTGTTAACTTGATATACATTGTTAGGCCCATTTCATAACAACTTAAAAGTTTTGAGACGATTGGTGATCTAACATGGTATTAGAGCTCTACCCCGTGTTATCTCTATGATCGTGCACCTTGTTCTCTAAATATGTTCCTCTCTCCACATGCGAAATGGGATTGCACATGAGGGGGAGTGTTAGTTTGGTATACATTGATGGACCTATTTCCTCACATTTGGGACAATTGATGATCCAACATTTAGTACTTTGAAAGATACAGTCATAAATTGGTAAATGAAAATCATGAATTCGAATCACTAATCACAGAGAATATAAACAACAGGGGCCTTTTTGTGACAATATTGAACATCAGAACTTAGGCAGATAAATACTTAGATCTGTCCCATTCTTTCACAGTTCATTGATGATTAAAGTTTTTTAAGGATGTTTGACTATCGGTGATATTAACTGCCTAGCTAAAGTTGGGGGATGTGCAGACTTTTAAGGATGTGCAGACTTTCAAGTTACTTTAGATGTCTGCTTTCTAGTACAAAAATACCCACAGAGATTTTGTGATATTTATTGGGAAAATAGGAATGAATTGTGCATTGTACACCCAAGAAAGAAATTCCCTTTTGTGAACTACCTTTTAATAAATCTAGACCGAGAAAAACAGAGGAAAAAAGGCAAAGATGATTGTTGCATACCTTGTTGCACCCCTGAGAAGTTGACATCCTGCAGACTTGAACTTGGACTGCTGTACGGGTCAGCTAGAAGGCCTGATGGTAGCATTGCAGGTCCAAATGTTGATGTATCAACAAGTGGAACCAAGTCATTCAAATTTTTGTAAGCACATGTCTTCAAATTTTCCACCAACCCCTGCTAATAAAATAGGGAAGTTAATCGCATTTGAATCACATCACAAGGCAACACCTCAGGACCATAATGCAGGATATATATGATCGTGGTGATCATAATAGAAAAAAAAATGGAATTCACTTATCATAAAACCCATAAACCAAACCAAACCAAACCAAACCAAGCCTTAAGTCCCATCATAAAACCCATAAATGAAGAAAAATTGACCCTAATGAACCAGCTACGAATCAGGGACGCTTCTAAGAAGGCTGCATGTCATGTCGGACACCAATACAACACAGCACTCATCGAACACACGTTCAAACATGCCCTATTATTTTTAAAATTTCTAGACTTGAAAACACTTGTTATTGCTTAGACACACACACAAGTAACAAATCATAAGTTTGAATAAAATGACTTGGAAAGAAAAACAATGTAAATTAATATGTATTCTCCTCCTCTAGACTTTAGAAATTAGTGTTACAACTTACATTACATTTTGTTATTATCTTTAAATATAAAAATAAGGAATGCAGTATGCTGCCACAAATCACTTCATGTTGCGAGTGAGAGTTTCATTGGTCAAAATGCAATTGCACTAACAAGGAGTCCTGAAATTTTCTGATGTTGCCAAACCCATGTCTAGGTGACATTTGATACAATTTAGAGAGATTTGAAACTAAAGTAAGAGGTTTGGAAAAAAAAATAATTGAAAACAAAGGTGAGATTAAGTATGAAAACAAAAATTGTATATTATTAAGAATCCTAATCGCTTTTCCCTCCTGCTGCAGAAGCATTTTGAGGTATGCTTTACATATGCATGCACAGTTCAACCAACCAGAACAACAGTAACTTCAATAGCAAAAGAGAACATTTTGGACTAAACTGCAGTTAAGTTGTGATTCAAAAATATATCCGGCTAGAAATACGCACCATCTGAAATGCATCAAGCTTATCCAGAGGCTGGTAATTTTGGCCATCAAAGGTCGCTGCTACAACCTTGAAGATGGAGTTGAACACAAGCCTAACCCCTTCTGCATCCCTATAGTATATGTAGAGCTTATCATCCAGAACACAAGCTGTAGCATGTACTATGATTGTCTCCCATGTCTTGTTTGAGATCCCACCACCAAGTATCTACAGTGTCCACGGAAAGGGATTAGATGGATTCCTCAACAAACCAGTATTAAATATACTACTTCAGTTAAATGATTTGAAATATCAAAGGGGGGAAAGAAAAGGAAAAAAAATAGAGAATGATTATCTTACATTGCGTAGTGAAGATTGGTCAACATGATACAACTGCAGAAATTCCTTAACTGTGGTTATTCCCTTTAGAGCTAACCTTCTATGGAATGCACCATCTTTGGCTATCCTCTCCAAACGCCATATTTCATCACCCAAGTATGGAGGATGATGCTTTTTATATGCTGAATGAAAAAGTCACCTCTCAGTCTTGGAATTATAATTATGGTTATTAGCAATTACATATTTGATGGATTTATTACAAAATTGAGCTTCAATAGGATCAAGGGGGATGAGAGGAGATGATTAGCAATTCAACAGGAGCATTCCCAAGATTCGAATATCTTGAATATAATGGTCCATTGACAACCTTAAAATTAACGGGTAACAAGTATAAATAAATGAAGTAGATATCTCTATGTAATTGTGTGCGCACTACATAAGTGCAGAGGAACTCAAGTTGAGTGATTACTCCCTATATATTTATTTATTACGAAAAAAAGAACATGAAGTGACACAAGTTTATGAAAGTATCAGGCTCATTTAGAAAAATCATTTTATGTTGAATTTCCAAAGAGTTTTAGGACAGAAAATGGAAGGCACGTTAGCATTTTCATCTACATGTCTGATCATAATTGTTCCATAACTAATTATCCACAAGCCAAAGTTTATGAGTTATTCATGAAAATAGAAAGGCAAAGTGAAAGGACTTACACTCTCCACGATGATCTTTTACTACAAAGGCCTCACTTCTTGCTTCTCTAATTCTTACTTCAGTGGAAATGCTTTGAACAGGTCTTGCTCCTAATCTAAACCTTCGACTTCTTATCCAGCTCGAATTATCTGTAAAGTTGACGTCACCAATATAACCAACTCCACCTCTCAATGAAATTACCAATTCGCCGGTCACCAATGGCCTTTTGCCTTCTCTTTCACGCACAACATTCGCATTAAACTCCTTCTCAGTCCAATCCTCTTGATCGTCAGCCCCAAAATCACCATCAAGCACCACAATTTCAATCTTAATTGAAGAGAAGGGGCCAGATGTTATAATCTTCTTGGAAATTGCATCAAGTATGACTACTTTAACTGGTTTACGATCCCGAGATTCTATTCTGCTGCTTGTGAAGAGGGTAGAGGGCAACTTATCATCAAAATGCAATTGCCAAGCCCTTTCAGGCCTTTCTTGAGATGATTCAAATAGATCGAGTGATGATCTGCAGAAAAGTCAAATGAAATTTTAGAATAAATTATTTTTTAATTTTTAAAAAATTGAGAAAAGCTTCAATGGCAAACGGTGGCGGAGCCACGATTTTGGCTTGGAGTTTGAACATTAAGTTGAAATCTTAGCAAGAATCACAATCCAACAGAACCAATTTTCATCTGGTGGTAGCACAAAAAATCAGCGCAATGCCAAAGTTATATATAGAGATATTCTTGAGTTAATCAATCATTTTTCTTTTTTTGTTAGTAATTTGATTTTTTGTACGATGGTCATCATGATTTAAATGCGATCGTATGCCTTCATAAAAAATGATAACAAAATTATATCAACATGCACATACACAACAAAAACATAGAGAGGGGTACAGAAAGAAATTACAGAGAAGATGTCGAAATAACACACCCAAAAAAAAAAATTGCAAGAGAAATTTTTAGCATAATTAAACATTTAAAGTGATAAATTGCATGGATTTTATTAAAAAGAAAGAGTAAATAAAGAGGAGGTATAAAAATTTAAGAGCATACTTGAAACTTCAAAGACACAAATTTAAAAAAAAAAATTTATTAGAGGTAAAAGTGTAATTTTCAAAAAGTTGAGGGGGGCACATGCCTCCCCCAGGTCCTGAACAAGATCCATAGCTAAAAAAGAAAATTAAACCTGAACAAATGACTTGGGCAAATCAACATGATTTACGCAGTCAGAATAACCACATAAGCCAAATTTGATCTGATCCTAAATCCTGTAATACTAGAAGACTCAAACGAAAAAGAATCTTAGGGCACGGCACTGACGCTTCCTAGAAAGACTGCACAACAAACACTTGACACAGAGAGCTTACCTTGGAGAGGACTGATGATAGAGTACAATTGCACGCTCCACTTCATCCTGCACCTATCAGACAAATAAATAAGGAATAATGAACATAATAGTAATAAAGTCAGTCATTCCAATCATGAATGGAAAAACAGATTCAGACCCCCATAATTAACCAGGATGCACCGTGCATCAAAGTCGTCACAATTTTGAAAATACTCACATTCCTGTAAAGCTTAATAAATTGACACGTGTATGATGAAGAATATTTTGTAACCAGACAACATACTACATAAAAACAAATAACATAACATAACAAAACGAATTCAGTTCGAAGAAACAGAGCTTAGAAGAAGTTTGCTTCACATGCCAAACTTCAACTAGAATCAAGACCTTATTCATTAAAGGGTAAAAAATAAAAGATTTAGACTTTAAGAACATAGAAATTCATCCTACCACACTCCGCACAAAAGGTTCCAACTTTGTCAAAAATTCATGCGTCGAAAGTGCTTTCATCACATCTCTAACAACACTGCACAAAAATCAGAGTTTCAAATCAAAAACCCATCATAAGGGCTAACAAAACACAAAAATGGACACTGAATTCCTTCTCACCTCGCAAAAGTAAGTGGTCGTTTGGACTCCCTCGGAACTTCTGACCCAACATCCTCCTCCTGATCACTAAAATGCCGTTTCAATACCATCAAAAACCCAAAAAAACTGAATGACTAACAAGTTATAAAAAATCAAAAATTCCCCAAATCTAAAACCAAGTAACCCAAACTTTCACAACTTACTTATAGAAACTGAACTGACCCATCAAAAACCCAACAAATGAATGACTAACAAGTTGAAAAACAACCAAAAACTCCCAAAATGTTAAACCAACCAACCCAAAATTCACAACTTATATATAGAAACTGAACTGACCCATCAAAAACCCAACAACTGAATGACTAACAAGTTGTAAACAACCAAAAAATTCCCAAAATCTAAAATCAAGTGACCCAATATTTCACAACTTCAGCACTATCTATATGAACTGAACAGACCAATCAAAAAACAAGTTGTGAACAACCAAAAAAATTCTCAAAATCTAAAACAAGTAACCTAAAATTTCACAATTTCAACACTATATAAAGAAACAGAACTGGCCCATCTACAGGGAAAGTACAGGGAAAGTTCAATCGAATTACAAAACAAACGCGTAAATGACACAAGTCAAGTAATAAACCCCAAATGACAAGAGCACATTAACTATCACATTATTATGTATGTGTTGTGGGTTTGTGTGGGTTTGTCTGTGTATGTGTGTGCGTGTGGGGTAGAGAATATTTAATTGATTTTTTTTTTTTTTTGGATTCAACAAAGTTGGAAATAACGTAGAACTCGATTAATTAAAGGGTATAGATAGAATTATAGGATTATACCCAGTTGAGATTCTAAAAACTAAATTCAAACCCAACAACGAACCAACCGCGTAAAGATAGAAAAAAACGGGTACGAGAGAAGAGTACAACAAACCACAAGTGTGCAGTCGTTAGTTAGAACTTTAATAGAATAATAATACAATCAATCACACCAAACAATGGGGAAGAGAGAGAAGATGATAGAGAAAGGGACAGAGAGAAAAGGGGCACCTGCTGAGTAGGAATTGAGGGTGAAAGATGAGTGTGATGCGAAGAAGATTGGTGGAAGTTGCAGAGAGAATAATATGATGAGGAAGACGCGTCGAGTTAAGCGACGGCGTGAGATGGAGACTAGCAAGGCCATGGCTTTGAATTTCACTCTTCTGGTGTGGGTTCCAATTTCCAAAATCTATATCGTGAAGGGCCTAAGTAATTGTCATTTAGGTAAATTACACATTGGTCCCTTAGAACAAAATTTCATTTCATTTCATTTCATTTTTTTGGGTAATAAATCTATGATTTTATCTTAATTTAATCAAATTAATTATAATTCTTAGTATTTTTAATAAAAAAAAATAGAGGTGTATTATTTATAAGTGGTATTTGTCATATTATAAAAAGTAAAATTATAAATTTATTTAACTTGATGAATTAATCTCAATCAATTCAGATATTATTATCTGTCAAAAATACTAAAGACATTATTAATTTGACAAGATTGATATCAAACTTAAAATTAATGATTAAAATTGAGCCAATTGAAATTGTATAGACCAAAATAACACAAGAAAAAAAATGTAAAAAATCACCGATATAATTTATTCTTATTTTTTATAATTTTAATTTAAATAATTTAAATCTCATATTTTTAATTTTATTGTAATATTGTTTACTCATTAGGAATAGCTCTCCTCAATACTCCATTATCTTCATACACCTCGTGACTTCATTTTGTGGGCTCTAGGAGATTTGTAAGGATGATTTGAACTGTTTATATCATAAATCTCATAAAATAAAAATATATATAGAAAAATAAATTGATCAGACAATGATAGACATACTTATTGTATTTTGTTTTATAAAATGGACAATTTTAGTTTTAAAATCGTACTTACTAATCATTTCATAAAACAAAACACAATTAGGTCTAGTTTGCCATAATCTAAAAAAGTCAAAAAAGTCACTATCATATTTAAGTCACATCATCTTCTTTAAGTCACATCATCTCTCTACCACGTCACTTCAAATCCAACCCATATTTCATAAAAAATCAAAAAATATACTTATTTAAATCATCCCAAACCACTCCTTAGTTAATTTGTCTATCCGTGTCAAAACAAACTAATTTTTTTTAATATATATTCTACTATTCTATGAATACAAGATCAGCGATGTGGTACAAGATCAGCGATGTGGATGATAATATTCAATGATAACTCCATATAACTGTTCTTCTCCATATAACTGTTGTTAGGGTGTTCAAAAAAATCAATTAAACCAGTAAACTGGAAGAATTCGATTCAAATCACCATTTTGGTTTGATTTTTATTAACTTCAAAAAATGATTGAACTGTTTAAATTAGGGAAAATTTACCTATAAGTCCTAGTTTCTAAAAAGTTGAACCATTTAGTCATAAAAGTTTTCTTATGCTCCATTTAGTCTCATTTGCACATCAATCTAATGTTCGAAACATTAATCTGATGTTTGGAATCTAATGTTCGAAACATTAATCTGATGTTCGAAACATTAATCTGATGTTTGAAACATTGTAATGGGACCTTTCAATCTATAAGAAAACTTTTAGGACTAAATAGTGTATAAGTTATTAATTTGGGATTTATTGGTACATCCCCTTAAATTAGTTCAATTTCTAATTCTAAAGCTTTGATTAACGTTCTGAATCGAATCAAACTGTTACATATTTATTTATTATTTTTTAAGACATTTTATGTAAAAATAAGAACAGAAAAGTTACTAGCGAAATTTGAACACAAAATTAATAAACTCTAACAAACTTAACAATTAAATATTAATTTGTTTATTATTATAAAATATATATCACTTTTTTTATTATATAAAATTTTTTGAATGGTATTTTATGATCTGATTCTACAAATTTAAGGGTTAAGTAAGAACTGATTCGGTTCTTAATTTGCATACATATATATATATGTTTTTTTTTTGGGTTTTCATTAATTTGGTTAAACTAAACAAGTTTTCCAAACAAATCTCTCTCACGTACACATCAAATCAATTACTTTGAGCGGGGATTCCTCTTTTCAAACGGAAAAAGGAGAGAAAGCTGCTTGAAAAACCCCTATGTTTTAGTTTTTGTCCTTTTTTTCTTTTTCAAGTGGTGTGTGGACTGTTTGGTTGGTGAGAAAGTAGGAGTGGGAGCTACTGGGAAACACAATTGCTGTCGAATTTCCTTCGTTCACAAATTTTCCTGGAGATTTTTCTTGGAAAACTTCCGTGGAATATTCATGGAAGCTCCCTTTTCCTTCCAAAAATATTTTGCCTTTATAATCTTTGTGTACACCACAATTAATTCACAATCCTGAAATTACCAATCAAGTAAACTTTCAGTAACTCTTTGAGATGGCTTGAACTTAAGACCTTTGATTTTATACTCAAGTTTTTATTGCTCGGCCAATCCATTGGGATAAATTTTGTGTGATTTGGATTGCAATAGTACAGCGGTTTTTTCTTGGGAAAAAAAAAATCAATACTTTGACCTTTGTAAATAAATCATAAAATTTTAATTTTATCAATTTAAATTCTAATATTTTGATTTATTTTTAATATGAACAATTTTCTTATATTTGTTAAATAAAATCAACGAAAAAATAAATATTTTAGTTATTAAACTCAATGCAAATGGATATTTTAAACATTTGACATTACATTGAGTTTAATAACTAAAATATTGTTATTTTTCATTGATTTTAGGTAATGAAAATAGACAAATAGTTTAGATTGAAGCAATCAAATGATTATGATTTAAATTGATAAAATTAAAAATTAAAAATTTGTTTTGTTACACTGGTCAAATCCTATAATTTTTTTAGTAATTGTCCATTTTTTCTTTTACATTTTTTTTTTTTTTGGATGCATTTATTGAAGAGGAAAGGGGGGAAAAATTCAAAAGAAATCGAAAAACCACACTCTGCTTGGTTTTGGAGGTTTAAGAAAAAGGAAATTTTAAACAGCACTGATTGAGAGCTCTAGTAGAGCTGCTCTAATAGCAGCTCTACTGAGCTGGCAACCATTTCTATAAAAAAAAAAAAAAGCAGAAAAAGACAAAACAAAGGACAGAAAAAGACAATTTAATGCTAGAGCTACTCTTTTAGAGCTCTAAAGCAATTTCCAATTTTAAATAGGTGTAAATTTTTTACAAAGTCACAGATAAGTAGTAAATTTTATCAAAAAAGATTGAGGCCTCAAATTTTTTGGCTCAAATTTGCCTCGAATTTTCTTTTTCTTTTTTTTTTTTTTTTTTTTTTAAAGTCACTTGCATTTGGTCAAAAGACCTTGTGAAGAAAAGTTCAATTTATTTTTTTCTGCAATGTATTAGCCCAGAAAAAAAAAAAAAAAAATTACATTCGAGGCAATTTCGAGCCTCATTTTCGAGGCCACAATCAGAGCTGAAATTTTATATACATTAATAATTAAAACTATAAATTTTTTCATGATTCAGTAATATTTATTTGATAAGACAACTTAGGGGTAATTTTTCCATTAAAAAACATGGCTCCTTTTGGTTTACTTTTTTGAAATGATATTTGAGTTTTGAGTTTTTTGAAAAATAAGCTTTGAAATGAATTTTTAAATGAGAAAATTTGTTTAAATATGAGTTTTGAAAAGAATTTTAAGTTTTGAGTTGTCTTTTAAAATTATTTTGGGTTTTTGTTTTTAAATATTTAAAAGTTTTCTTAATTTTATTTTTTTAGTATAAATATTTTTTATTGTAAATATTTTTTTAATGTGCATTGTATTTATTACATTTGTTTTTCATTTTTCACAATTTTTGTACTAGTTACGTATAACTTTAATTGGCTAATACATATTTAAAAGGAAAAATTAGTCTAGGGTCCATCTCCTACTTTTCGTAATGGAAGAGATCCACAAAATTATTTTTTTATGTCTAAGGTCCCTAAACATATATCAGAGAAATTTGACTCTTTATCCCTAAACTATCGAAGGTCGTTTGTGTCCCCAAAGCAACATAAACCTGAGTGAGAAAAAATAAGAATTACGGTCGACAACATTCGGATTAGAAAATCTGTGGGTTCGTTTGGTTTGTGTTTCTGAAAAAATTTTTAGAAATTTTCTCTACAAATAAGTTTTTAAAAGTAATCAAATCAAACAAATTTTCTCAAAAAAATTTCTCAAAACTTGTAAACTAAACAAGTTTTCCAAACAAATCTCTCTCACGTACACATCAAATCAATTACTTTTTCCAAAACTCTCTCTCAAAATAATTTTTCAAAACATCTTTTGAAAAAAACCAAACCAAACAACTTTTCGTACTTTTTATCTCTAAAACACATCTCTCAAACACAAACCAAACATACCTTGTGTACCTCTCTCTCACGGTGATGAAGCTTCTCAAGCTGTGTACATGGAATTCACTAGGTAATCAATGTAGCATTTCTAGGGTTTTTAGGGTTTTGTTCTACTCCACTCAGACTGAGACTGAGACCGAGACCGTGACTTCCTCATCGTCTTCAGAGGACACTCTGTATGGCAGGCTTTTACAATTCGGAAACCCTAGGGTTTCAATTGTACCAGTACTCTTGCTCAAACACGTCCAGACCCACGAACCCCCGTCTGCTTCTTCTTCTTCTTCTTCAAATTGTTGTTGATGTTGTTGTTGATCATCAGTATCAGTATCAATATCTAGTTCTTCCGATTCGTCTTCTTCTCAATACTCCAAATACCGATGGTATAGAGATTGAAGCAACCTACCTGGGTCTATACCTGAAAACCAGAAAAATGAAGCAACCTACCTGGAGTTGAACATTATTGTGGAGTTTCCAAAATCAGAACATTTCAACATAATCTCTTTATTGGAGTTGCATCAGATTTATGATTATGGGGTTGGAATAGGTTGCTTCAAGAGTCTCACTCTCAGGCACAACTCCAATATGTTCTGGGGTTGGAATAGGCAGTGAAATGTCCAGTGGGATTTCAAACGTTATTGTGGAGGATTTACACACTAGAGATTCAGCAGCTGGGATGAGCCAAAGACCATTTTTGTGAAATTGATTCAATTTTCTGTGTTATGCTCCAACTTTGCTTTGAAATTTTCGCAAATTTCGTCCAGGTGGGGGACAATTAGTTGAATATAAAAAATTCCAAATTGTAAACTGAATTTTTTTTTCATTTGAACTGAATTTTCTCTGGGTTGAAACCAGAAAAATTCTCTGGTTTTTGAATTGAATTTTCTCTGGGTTTGTCCAAAGAATTCTTTGGTTTCTAGCTGGAACCTGGAATGCTTAATCTGTATAAAACCCAATGTTTGTGAAATCAAATTTTGAAACCCTTTTGTTGAAAAGGAGAGCAATATTGATGTTGTTCGGTTTGATCTCTCATTGTCTCCAGAGAAATTCTCATCTAGAGAAATTCTCTAGAGAAATTCCCGCATTTCTCTAGATGAGAATTTCTCTGGAGACAATGAGAGATCAAACCGAACAACATCAATATTGCTCTCCTTTTCAACAAGAGGGTTTCAAAATTTGATTTCACAAACATTGGGTTTTATACAGATTAAGCATTCCAGGTTCCAGCTAGAAACCAAAGAATTCTTTGGACAAACCCAGAGAAAATTCAATTCAAAAACCAGAGAATTTTTCTGGTTTCAACCCAGAGAAAATTCAGTTCAAATGAAAAAAAAATTCAGTTCACTAGTCCAAACACACACCATATATATACCACACGTACACACACAAATTCAGTGAATCTGGAACTTGATCATAGAAGTACTCTTGTAGGCCAACAAGTGTAAACCCATCACAATCCCAAGAATGATGAACCGAGGAGCTAACCAGAACACGCTCGTAGATAGATAACTAGAGAAATTCCCCAACCTAGAGAAATTTCCAGACAAACCTTTCTACAGAAATTCTCTCAACCCAGAGAAATTCCCAAAAAATATAGAAAATACACATAGAGAGAACATACATCTAAGTATATATGTACAAATCAGTACAGATCAGAAATTTGAGTAATAGATAAAACCTGTAAGACAGCAATTTGCCAAACAAAGCCAACAAAACACTCAGTCAAAAGGATCATTCACAGAAACCCAGCATTTTCCAGAACATAAAAACCCAACTCGAAAACTACACCCAGATTTCATCTACAGTACTGTAACCCCAATTTTTAGACAACAATGCAAAAATAGTTTTGGAACTTTTGACAGCGCAAACCAAATGGACAAAGCATACCCATTTCATAATTCTGAACAAACACCAAGAAAATCAAGAAGGAAGAGAGAATGGAAGGGTAAAATGGAAAGAATAGAAGATTTGTACCTGAGGAAGAAGGCATCAGAGTCCAAATCTAAGGAACATTTGGAGAAAAGATGGGTATGGATATGTATTTGGGAGGGATTTGTTGTAAGAATTGGTATGGATGGGGTCTCTGTTACTTGAAAATCTGGTGTGATCCCATCGCCATCTCTCTCTCTCTCTCACTCTTTTTCTCTCTCTCTTCCTCTCTCCTTCAGACAGCCGCAACAACTGGTGGGTTGTCTCTCGTCCAACAGTAACATCCAAACCCAGATACTATAATGAAATTATTTTTTTTATAAAAAATAAATAAATTCTAGTGAGAGAAAGGTACCATTTCTAGTGAGAGAAAAGAAAAAAGGTGAAAACACCTGCCACCTTCCCAGGCAGGCACACACACTCTCTCTCTCTCTCTCTGCCCCTGTTCTTTGCTTTGGCTGATCCAATGTCAGTCCCAGCCCTAACCTTCCATCAAAATTCCTAACTTGTCCCTATTGTAAGACTCTTGGAATTTTCTTGGTAATTTACGATAACATTTAGAAAAAATATATTGAATTCTATAAATTTATTATAGAACAGGTTAATTTAGTAATTTTTTAACTATTTGGTTAAAGTATGAACTAAAAAAAATTAGTACGTTTGGGATGAATTTTTGACATTTTACGAAAAAATGTACAAAAAATAGAGAGAAAATAAAATCTTTGACTTTTTATTATGGGTTGTTGGCTTTTTAGGCCCCGTTTATTTTCAGATGTAGAATTGAAAGAATTGATAGTGAAGGGATTAATAGTGAGGGGACTAAGTAAAATTGTGTTTGTTTTGATGATAGTTGTTAGTGTAGGGATTGTTAAATTATTTTTATATAAAATAAAAAAAAAAATTAAAAAAATACAAATATATTAAACATTAATGTTTTAAAAAAAATGCCCAACATGCAAAAAAAAAATTAAAAATAAAATAGAATAAAAAAATTTCAGAAAAAAATAAAACAAATAAAATAATGATTTTTACTTAACAAAAAATATAAAAAATTAAACATTAATGTTCAAAAAAAATTGCCCACATGTAAAAAATAAAATAAAAAATAAATAAAAATAAAAAAATTCTAATCCACCGGACTATTTTTCTAATACCAAGTCCTGGAGGTCCATCCGAATCCCCTTAGGGAGGCCTATCCTAATCCGGAGCTCACTATTAATCCCCTCCTCTTCTCTCAAAACAAACACAATATTAGTAGGTCCCACCTCACTATCAATCCCAATCTCACCTCTAACTCTCCAAACAAACGGAGCCTTAGTTTTTTTAATGACTTTTTAGCTAAAAAAATCATTTGCCAGACGAGGCTTAAGTATTGGCTTCCATTGAAAAGTAGGTTCATTTTTTGAATTTTGGCTATAGCTTGGAGATTCACATTTTTAGTTTTTTTAAATTTTGTAAAAATAAAAAATAACATAATTATGATTTATTAGTGTATCACTTGTACTTTGCATAAGTTGTGTTTACAATTATTTGTACAGCACATAAAGAAAGAGAAGCATAAAATAAAGAAAACCCGATGCCCGATACTCGATATATTCTGAAAAATGCAGAATATGAATCACAATAAATAGGCTTCAAAATCAAGCATCATCGGTTGAAGGAACAAAATCTGTTGGATTACCTAACCCCAGATCTTGGAAGGAAACCAAACCATCGGCCACCCATTTCAACCAAATAAAAGAAAGCAAAAAAGCTATAGATCAGAAAAATTAAAAGCCGCAATTCAAGGAGAATAAAATGTTCAAAAGGGCATGGAGACCAAATCAAGAGATATGACAGTTTAACCTTATCAGCAACATATATGGAACCAAAAACCAGGAACAATTTTCAGTTTCTAGGACTCCCCAAGTCAACTCAAACAAAAAATACAGAAAAGACACATAGAGAGAACATACATCTAAGTATATATGTACATGGCATAATAATTTAAATTCAAATTCAAATTCAAATTTAAATTTAATTATCATCTGAATTCACAAAGATATGTTGTAGCCGAAGAAGCTAAAGCATTATTGAAAACAAGAAACAAGAGGTGGTAAAGATTTCTCACAGTGTCAATGGTTCCATATCCAGCAAACACATAGAGGAGATTCTTGATCTGAATGGCAGCCCCATCAAGACGCGGCACCGGTGCAGTTGCCATCTTCTCCCATTCTAATTCCGGACCGGGTAAATCAGCAAAAGTTGCTGACAAGAATCTCCCAGGCACAGTAACCTTGTTATCCTGCCCAATTGTTCAATCAATCAAGAAAACACTAAAAACCCAACTTTGCAGTGGAAACCAACCCATAATCATGTTAATCATGCAATATGTGTAGAATTTTCAGGAATTAAGCAAAGTAAAAATAACAAATGACTAGAATTGAAGTGGGAAAGTGAGTGGTACCTTTGATTTTGTGGTGTTATGGAGAGGGGGAACGATGAATTTGTCGGAATTTTGGATAGGCCAATCGGATGAAATGGAAAGGTAGGGAGAAGAGGAGGAAGAAGAAGAAGAGGAAGCCCAAAAGAGATCTGCGAAGAGGGCAGCTCCGAGAAGAGCCACGCAAATCAACACAAACTTGGTCGATTTGTGTTTTCCGACTGTTGTTGCCCTTCCCATCTCATCGGATCCAAACAAGATAACAATGTAGAGAGAGAGAGAGAGAGAGAGATCGCTTTTCGCTGTTGTCCTCGTCGCCGGAGGAGAGAGTCAGAGAGAGAGAGAGAGAGAACAAGATCATAATCAATGGTAGAGTAGAAGCTAGTTAAATTGAAAACCAAATACAATTATACGTCATTCACATGCTACCAAAAGCAAGAAAAATTAATTTCCAATGCTATGCAGACTGTAAGGTTGTGTTTGGATCTCTGCTTTGGAAATTAAATTGAAGGCCTTATCGGCCACAGAACCCAAAATTGATTACACCATTGTGATTGGAATAATTTTTAGAGCCTATGGTGAAATTTAATTGGAAACTGATTCGGATGAAAATAATTAGGTTCAGAATGACTAATTAAGTGCTCAATTATTTGATATTAAAATAATGTGACTTAGTGGGGGCTTTATAAGGGCCTTATTATATTCATTCCTTCTCTTTAAAAATCATTTTGGCTGATATCAACTCTAAGAGAGGGAAGAGAGGGTCAGCTAGAGAGGGAAAGAGGAAGGATTGCATGTTTTGGCTCAAGGTTTGTGAGATTGGGAAGATTAAGGCTCCTAGGTGAGTAATTAACCCTTGACTCATGGATTTTTGTTTGTAATTTGTAAATTCAAGTTTGATTAATGGTCAAGAACGCGAGTTAGATTGATTATGATGAAATTGAGTTGGTTTTGTTGAAATTGAAGTCTTAGAACACATGCATGTAAGAATTTGCCATAAATTTCCATATTTGAGCACAATGAGTATGTAATCCATGTTGAGTTTTGATTAATGACCATGTATTTGATCATCTCTTCACCAATTAAGTTGAGGATATTGTGTATATTTCACATGCAAGTGCAAATCATGGGAGTTTGAGTCTTGTATGTTTGAATCTAGTGTGTTGGTGATGAGTTTGAGTTAATTTGAGATATGCATGTGATTAAATTGGGAAATTGAGCTTTATTGTGTTGTAATTTGGTGTTTATACCATGTTAGAATATGTATATGTGAAGTTTGAGCCAAAATCATGCATTTAGAACCTTTGAACATCAAATTGAAGCTCAAGAACATGTTCTGGATTTTCCAGAATTTTGATGTCCGCTCGAGGGGGAAAACCGCCACTCGAGCATGAAATTCGTGTTCCCAGTATTTTCTGCAGACATGGTGTCCGCTCGAGCGGGGAAGTTCATGCTCGAGCGGTGAGCCATGTAGAGAGGCCTTCCGTTCGAGAGCCAAAGTTCGCAATCGAGCGTAAAAAAGAGTTTGATCTAACTTTGACAAATCACGTGGAGGATTTATGTGGAGAGGAAGTTTTGCATGGATTTCGTGATTAACCGAGATGTGCATATATTGACCCGGGCACTTGGTCACTGAAAAAAAAAAAAAAAAGGGCTCGATCTGTGCAAAGGTGTGCACAAATTTTTGCATGAGATGCACATTGCGTTATATGGACCAGATCACATTTTTAGCTGTGTCTAATCCATGTACCAGCATGAGTCTTATAAAACTGAAGTAAAGAAGATGGCATTCAATTTTAATCCAACCTACTATAAATTATTAAATTCGGATGTTGGAGAAGCACATAGTTTCACAATAAAAATAATTAAAATTTTATTTAATTTAAGTAGTAAGGTTTTGCTAATTAATGAAAAAAAATTGTAAACATTGTTGAAATTTTGTTGCAATTTTCATATAATTTCTAGCACTTTTATATATTTTTATTCATTTTTATTAGTAGTGTGCAAATAAAATAAAATATATATACAAATTTTATCGTAAGAATGATATAATTGTATTAAGACTTATCATTTTAAAATAGACACTTAGGCCATAAGTTCAATTTAAATTTATTTTGGGCCAGAATGATATATTTTCAAAAAGGACACTGTAGACACCCCATTTTTGACCGACCTTAAGACTCAGACGTCACCGATTGAGCGCTTGGTGATATTGTATATTGTGCTCGTTCAGAAGTTTCAGAGTCTCGGCTGCGAGCCTTGCCTCCGGACTTCCGGGCTCTTTTGTGTCCTGCCTCGGTTTGCAAACCAGGTTCTGTTTTCTCTGTTTTCTCTTCCCGAAGGGAGGGAGAGGTCTCGTAAATCATCTCTCAGTGGCCGTAGGCTACGTTTCGTGGTCGTAGGCCATTTTGCCCGTTTGGAGTCCGGTTTTCGATTTTTCAGAGCCGTTAGCAGTGTGCCTCGGTTCGGGACCGCTTAACCACCTTCGTTTGCTCCGATTTTTGGCATGCATCTTATTTGCTCCCTTTTAAGGGACACTGTGGCTCGAGAGACCAACTTCGTGGTCCAACACCACTTCCAGTGCCTAACAGTCAGTTTTCGGAGCCTCGGGCTGCGCGTTTCGGCCCCCGAACCTTCATTTTGCATCGGTTTGAGTTCATTTTTGGCAGGAACATCTGTTTCATTGTTAGGAAGGTCGTAGAAGGGTGGGAGGCCAGCAATTGTTCTGACAACCAATTTTATTCCTCCATCACCCTCCGTCGCCCGTTTTTTCTCACTTAAAAGCCAATGTTGACCACCCTAAGGCCACTTTTTCCAGCCCTAAACCACATATTTGTGTTGTACACACCTGGGAGGCCACCAATATCACATGGTCGGCCAGTAATTGTGTTTAACCCTTTTGAACCCCTCCAAAAAGTGGGCTTTTCTCTCTCCTGGTTTACTTTCTCCAGTTTTTGACCACATGGTTGTGTTGTGCACACATGGGAGGCCACCAATATCACATGGCCGGCCACTAATACTGCTTGACCCTTTTGACCCTTGGCCGACCGGCCATGGGGAAGGCCGACCGGCCACCTGCAACTTGAATACCCGGCCGGCCATGATCCCCTCCTCTGGTACATTACAAATATGTATTTTGTTTCTCCCCAGATTGTGTATCCGGGGGGCTACACTTTTGGGGGGAAATTTGAAATCCATTCCCCCCCATTTTTCCCCCCTTTTTTGCCTATATATCCAGGCCATTCCAGCAGTTTCAGGGGGTTAGAAAATTTTGGTTTAAGCTCCTACATCATCTCTCTCTCTCTCTCTCTCTCTCTCTCTCTCTCTCGTCACGATTGAAGAAAGCAGAGGGCAGCGATAGTGTGGTGGCTAGGATTTTCAATTGTAGAGGGCAGTGCCAGCTAGGGTTTCACAAAAAAAGTTGCAGGTGGCTATGGAAAGAGGGTGGCGGAGTTACGAATCACATGTGTAGGGCGACATTGGGATGATAAGGAGGGTAGGTGATGACGACCAAAGGTGATAGCAATGGCTAGTAGAATTAGAATTAGGATTAGGGTTTAGGAGAGATAAGGGTAAAAATAGAACTTCATATGTGGACAAAATTGGAATTAAAAAAAATAAACGAGATGAATGGTGGGTAATTCAATTTACACACCATTACTTGTCTCAGACACATCATTTACTCTGTTCACACCATACACAAATTAAAAATTTTAATTTTATCTCAATACACACCAATAATTTTCAGATAATACTCAACTACCCTCATCTTTCCAACAAACCCTAACCCTAACCATTGCCAGCAACCATTGCCTCCCACTGGCATCGTTCCCTTCTCAGCCTTTCTCAACCTCCCATGGTCGTCGCCCCTTCCCAACATCTCTTCCCCTTCCACCACTACTTCCTCCTCTCTAATCTCCATTCCTTTTGTTGCAGCCCTATTCGGCCAGTCACTCATCGTTGTCTCCTTCTGCTACCGTCGCTGCCGCTGTAGCCCTTTTCCATTCAGTCGCGATCATTAGATCGCGATCTCTCTTCCACCTGCGATTTCTCTATCTCTTTCAATCACAATGACCATCAGCCTTCGCTATCATCATTGCCGGCAACCCCTTTAGCCTTTCATTCCCAACGACAATGTCGCAGCCAAACAACCCCTTTTGATAACCCTTCGTCGTGATCCACCCCTCATCCAACTAGGTTTTGGGTTTCTAGATCTAAGGTTTGAGCAAGAAGAAGAATAAGAAGAGGAAGAGAGGGGGTTGCAGAATGGGCTACAGGAGATATTGGGATTGGAGAGGAGGGCGACGAGGCTAGTTGTAGAGGGTGGAGAAGGGTGGATGATGACAGAGGGATGGACGACGGAGCTGGGGAGGCACGATTGGATTAGGGAGAGTATGCTGGACTGGGAGAGGGGATGGTGGTGGCTGTAACGGCAAGGGCTGGAGTTGGGCGATTAGATGGCACTGGCAGGAGGAGAGGAATGCTACGAAGGTGGTGATGATCGGAAGGAAGAGAGGGAGGTGGTTGCCGGTGGTCAACAATGGCAAAGGTTAGGGTTGAGTTAAGAGAGAGGGAGGGAGGGAGAGAGAGAGAAAGGGAGGGGTGTGTTGGTAATTTGATTAAATGATAAAAATGTAAAAAAAAAATGGAGAAATAGCGTGAATTGAGAGAAATGATGATGTGTAAATAGAATTACCCATGTACGGTAAGTGTAAATAATACTACTCTTTTTTAAAATATAACATTTTTCCATTTGTTACTATGTTTTTGCGTGATATTGTGCTTTTGGTCCATGGTGCTTTTAGGTTTTTGCTGACTATAATATTTCCCTTTTGCAGTCATAGGATTAGATGAAAACTATTTGTAAATTTGATATCACTATCATACAACATTCTATGTTTTTTAATTGGTCTATTTGAAAACCATTTCTAATTTTGAGACCATTGGCCTGTAATGTTGTTTGTTTTAGTGTTTTTCTTTAGGTCACTTGTGAAATTATAATGCAAAATTAATAGTGTTTAAATAATTGTAATGGACATTCTTAGTTGTTCTCTGAGGTTTAAGGCCCCATAAGATCACATTGTGAACTCTTTCAATCCTTAGTTTTAGTTGGTTGGGCCAGAGTTTCACCCTACCTTCCACCGAATAAAGAAAACTTTATGGTTTCTTAACTTGTTGACGTACTAGCAAAGATAGTTAGTGTTTGTGTCACATCTTCAAGTTTGAGAGGCGGCTTTCTTGTTTTTGCTCAAATTATGGGCATTGAGGTGATGGAGCTAGAGAATGAAACAAAAGATGTGGGTTTCATTGACCAAATAGTCCAAGTTATTTACATTTTCCATTTCTTCTT